TAATCTAAACCTCCCTGATTTCAAGGGAAAAGCGTCCCTTCATCACCCTGCTCCTCAGTAAGGTGTCTTTTCAAGTCTGAGAGCTGACACCAAGTACTGTCGCTCTCTTGTTTTAAACAGACACCATCTAGGCCTTGCTGGGGATCCCAAGACCTTCGCAGCGGCTTTCGAGCCGCTAAAGGCAGCGTGTTTTCAAGCCGGGCAAAAGACAGACCTGTCACTCATCTGTTCAAAGCATGTTTGTGCCTTTGAGTCTTGTTTCTCTGCTTCAAGAAGTCCTTCAGGCAGGATCCAGCCAAGAGGACCAGGCACATTTGCCCAGGAACTGGCTCTGCCATTCGACCTTTACACACTTCCCACCCGGCCCTGGGCTCATCGCTGGGCAGGAGTAAGAGTAAAACCCATCCCAGAGCTTGACTCAAGTAGTGCCTTTACCTCTGAAGCTGGTGAGTGAGCAGAGCCGGCTGGTTTTCACACGGAGCTTGCAAGGGTGGAGATGGCTGGGGTGGCCGGATGCAGTCCTGAACCAGGCACCAGAAAATAAGAAGTGTTTGCCATCAGTACCGTCACAACTAGTACATTCGGAAATGTCGATTGCTGGACGTGCCCAGATTCACCAAAGGCTCGATCCCCAGCCCGGCCGCGGCGGCTGCGCAAACGTCCCTGCTGAAGGCCTTCAGGCTCCCGGCCTGTCACGGCGAGCCCAGCCACGTACCCTGCGCGGGCCCGGCAGCGGCCAGCACACCTCAGGAGGGACCAGGCCCCGTACCTGGATCTGCTGATGGAGGATCTGGTGGTGCTGCTCCTGCTGGTACAGCATGTGCTGCTGCTGCGTCTTCTCCAGCGTCCTCTCGTCCATGTGCCCGCCATACATCTTCTGCAGCTGCTCGCACTCCTGTAACGAACCCCGCACGCCCCCTCAGTGACCCCCAAGTGACAAAAAGGCACGCGCTGCAGCCTACCCATCTGAAAAAGCCCGCAAAGAAAGCTGAATCCCTTTAATTTGGCAGAACAAGGAGTGGATTAACGCAGCGAGCAGAAAAGGGGTGCACGGGACTCCAAGCCAGAGCCATCGCGTTCCCAG